TTTTCCAATTATTTTTTAAAAGTCAGGTCAAGGCTCCAAAAGCCCAAAGGCGATATAAGGGTGGTGGCTCACAACAGTTTTATTTGCTACATGGATCATTTTAGTTCAGCTGGGTGTCTTTCCTTTTGTTATATTTCTTTAAGAGTTCAAAATGTGTTCATTACATAAATAAAATGTAATTTTCTCTGTAGCACTTCATGGATTTCATAAGCAACACAACTTAGTTGTTCACACAAAGCATAAAGGTAAAAAACAATATATACAGTGTTATCTTCATTTTAGATGTCAAAAAGTATTTGCGGCTCCCAGTGTTTTCTTTTGCGTGGAAACCGGGTCCAAATGGCTCTTTGGGTCTTAAAGGTTGCTGACCCCTGCCTTAAGGTGACTTTTGTTGTAAACTGGAGCTACATAAAGTAAATAAAACTGAAGAAGAAGACAGTTTCATTCTCATGATGAATTCTAGACGATCAGATGCTCCCTTGATGTTGTAGCATGAGGGATAAGAATGCAAACATCTCAAGTGGTTAAAACATTTGCACAGAGCCGTACTTAATCTCATAAGTGTGTCTCCGTCCTGCCTTTTTTCAATCTGCCTATCTTAGCCAAGAAAGTCAGGGAATTAAAGCATCCATCTCAAGAAGGAACTGTTATACAGTCCAATCCTAATGTGTTGAGACATAAATGGTGACTGAAGGTCTGGACCTGGTAGGAGTCCAGGATCAGCAGGTTTTTAAACACACGTTTAGATCTGATGCTGAACAGAACCAGGCTGGATTGCAAAGCTGTCATTTCCTGAACAATAGCAAGTTCACTCACATGTCAAACTGAAACTCTTCAAGACATTTACTGCAGTCAAACACACTCAAAGGCTTTGCTGTACGCCTGTAATATTTACAGCAAAAACAATCACATCTCTCCACAGGATTCAGCACAGATTTAGTTTGTGTCAAAACATTTTCTTTAAGTCAAATCTTTTCTTTACAAAGCATAGCAACAAAGATTTTTTTTCCAAAACGAAAGAAGGGGGAGGACAAACACGTGCTAGTGTCAGTGTCAATGTGCTCACAAAGCCCAGAGCTTCTGTCCATGTGTTCTGACTGTATGTGTAGTTTTCCTGTGAAGTGGAGAGCGCTGGCTTACTATCAAACGTATCGCTATCACACGCTTTCTTTACCATCAAAGCATGTTTATCCTTGGAGTTTGTGCAACTGTTGAACCAGAAACCATAAAAATATCTCAGCAATCTTTCTTTGTAGAGATCGTGCTGTGCAAAGTATGAAACTATTTTCCACCGTCAGCACTTCAGGATTTTCTTAAGTGAGGATAAATTAAGAAATGTTCTCTTTTTCTTCTAAGAAGCAAAGAAAACATATCCTACAATCTTGCTGATAAAAGACTGGAGACAAGTCTTAATACTTTCAAGCCGGTTTAAGAAAATAAAGCTTAAAGGCGACCCAAAACATCACAAGAAAGGTTCAAACGCACAACCTCCACATTAAGAATCACAGCATGACTATAAAGTCACTCATAAAACTGAAGTGGATTAAAAAGACTTCTAATTGCTGCCATTTGTCAGACCTGGCAACGTGGCACAGTGTGTCTGTGTAAAGCCACGTCTTATGAAAAAAGAAAAAAGAAAAAAAAAAAACAGGTTGCACTCAGGTTAACAGCTCTCACTGCTTACAGGTCACTTTTATGAACTGATTCATCAGCTGTGGTTAAGAAGACAAAGACTGCAGAACAAACCACAAACACCTGGAGGAATGGAGGAATGGAGGAATGGAGGAATGGAGGAATGGAGACATTTCAACGCTAAAGTTTACCCTAAAATCAAAGGTTAATGTGTTTTCCCTCTGGCCTGTAGTGCTATTCACCCATTTAGGGCTGCACATCACCAGCCCATCTTGGCCTTCGATGAATTAGCACTCAGGTTTGTTGCAGGCTGTGGTGACATTATCCTCTGTTGCATGCACAGACACACAAGACAGACAAGTACTGATTTTGCTAGACTGCACTAAAGTTGAGGACTGGAGAACCCCACCATTAATCTCAACACAATTCTGCTTGGTCTTTTCAATTTTAGCTCTTCATAAGCTCAACGGTGGCTCTCCACTACAGTCCCAGTTTCTCATGTAGAAACTTGGGATTTTAATGGCCCATCAATGCCGCAATGCATTACTGCACTCACAAGTTTATAAACTAAAGTGGACGTCTAAACTAAAAAGCCAACATAAGGAGATGAAATCAAGCCCTCACATCTCTACTGTTGCCGTCAGAGAGAAACCAAAGCAGCCACAATGACTGCAAAACTCACAAGTCAGAGAATGAATTTAAAAAATAAAGCAAAAACAAATTTTTATTTTGCTATTTATCTGGTTTTTCTGAGGTCAGGGCTTTGCACACTGGATAAACAGGCCAGAAAAAAAGGAAATTTAATTAACTCTTTAAGCGGCGAATTGAAAATTTCTTACTTTACCATTGCCTCAATGCATAAGTAGCTCATATTTCCTCAAAATTTAGCAGGTCAACCAGAGTGCTTGTTACTGAGAAGTTTGTTGACTATAAATGATTTCCTGCAGAAGGAAACAACTTCTGAGTATGTGGAGACATAAAAAAAGAAATGTAGCTGCTTTTAAGTAACAAAGGCCTTTGTCTTGCCCCGGCTTCTAAATGAGAGGAATGTATGCCAGAGCTTTCACATATTTTGCCCAAATGTGTGTGGACTGTGGATGAAAGCCTGTTATTGAAGTCTAGAGCTTATGCATCACAATTACTAGTATATTTTAAATGTGCATAATTTTCTCTATTTTTACTCCAATGACTAGCTCATTTAAATATGCACTTAACAACGAGTGAACAGATCTGTGTTCTTGTTTCTCCAGCGCAGACCCTCAGGCCTTGAAGCCATTTGAGCCATAAGGTTTCAGCTGTGTGTGTGTGTGTGTGTGTGTGTGTGTGTGTGTGTGTGTGTGTGTGTGTGTGTGTGTGTGTGTGTGTGTGTGTGTAAAATAATGAGGCTGCATTCATGCAGGCACGAATTTCCTGTGACTGACATTAAGATGAGAGGAGAACAGTGAATCATTCTGTCTCATGTCTGTTATACATTACAGGCGACATTAAAAGAGTGTCTGTTTCAGACGGAGCCAGGCCCTCATGCACTGATCCAGAATGAGGCCCAGAGACATTTGCGGGAATTCCCTAGATCCCTAGAGAATATCATGGGATTTTTTTTTTTTAAGGAAAGATAAGAGGATCCTACAGCGGGGCTCAGAAGGGCTGCATCGGCTTCAGCTCGTGTCTGATGACTCCAGCTGACTACAGCAGCACGTACAGGACGCAGCACACAGACTGAGGAAGCAGTTAAGGTACAGCAGCTGAGATGTGCTACTGTGGAAGTCGATGTGTAAAGGTCAGAGATCAACTGACGAGTTGCAATGAGTGGAGGTGCAGACATTCACAAGAATGGGAGAGGCAGAAACAGTATTCACTGCAAATGTTATATTTACACTTTTATTGATGTTTATTTATAAAGCACTTTTAAAAGCAGAGCAGTTATGGACCTGGGTCGCTCCACTTGGAACTGTTTGCAATGCCCACCTGCTGCCATACTTAATCGGTCTGGTCCCAGAATACAACCAGTTGGCAACCAGTTAGGTTGAGTCTCCCATTGCAAAGAGAGGTACTTTATTAATAATAATTATTATTATTATTATTATTGTTGGCACTTATCTGCAAACCTATGCGAAGGGGGATTACAGAGGTATTACACTCCAACTTAGACCCTGTTTGTTTGGAGACAGGTGTCCTGTGCCTTGTGACTGAATGTTGCAGCCCAGGGTTGAGTGCACAACACCCGCAAGCTCTAAGTAACCTCTTGGTCACCAAAACTACCTACAATCAGTCTCAAAATGTAAAAGACTTCAATGAGGATGCCATCATTTTTACTGTAGTGTGACAAACACTAAGTGCTGTCTGTTAGGAAGGCTACTTCCTATGTCATT